AGTTTTTTTTTTTTTGGTAACTCTCTGATGGAAGTAGATTCCGGAGATGAATAAAATAAGGTTTGGTGTGCAAATTTATATGGTATGAATGGAATTTGAAAAAGATTAAAAATAATGTGAAAGAAAAATAAAGAAAGAAAGAATAAGAATATATTGGAATCAAAACGAAAGAGTGGTGCTATACGGATTTGTGAAAAACAACAATGGTGTTTGGAATTTTTTTATATTATTTTATTTTATTTTTTTTTATTTTTTTTTTTTGAATAATAAGAATAATAAAAATAATATAGGAATGGAGAAAGCAGATAGTGGGGAACATGAGTGCGTGGAAAAAAAGAAAAAGAAAAAGTATGGGTTGGAGAAGCTGAGCATCGGAAAAGAGGAGAGGAAAAGGAAGTGGAGTGTCAGATCCACTCACACTTGTTTTTGTGTTTGTTTTGTGTGTTTGTGCTTTTAAACAAACATGGCTCTCATAGAGAGAGAGAAAGAGAAAACTAGCAGTAGACTCAAATATGGGTAGTATTTGTATCCCAGTATTTGATATGAAAGAAGATTCTGTAGGAAAATCAAAGAAAATAGTAGAAGCATGCAGGGAGTGGGGATGTTGCAGGATCATCAACCACGGCGTCCCACCGGAGTTGATGGCGGAGATGAAGGCGGCGACGCAGTCTCTGATGGAGCTCCCGGTGGAGATCAAACGGCGGCGTTATCATCTAGTGGAAGGCCATGGGTATGTATCAGTTAACACAGTCAGTCCAGTTTATGGGGCTGTTGTGGTTCAGAACAATACTGGGGTTGTCGGAGAGAATGCAAGGCAAGTCTCCACCGCCGGGAATGCGTCTTTGTTCGACAACCATTCCAGTTCTTCCTCTGCAATTTCCTCAGGGAAGGAGAGGCTTTGATAATGATGAGGGTCTGGGTTGGAAGACTCCAGCAAAGACGAAGAAGAAGACGGCACAAGCAGTGGATCCACCAACCATGAGACCTTTGCCGAAGCAGAAGCATTTGGTGACGCCGTTGACCACCGTCTGGCTTATAAGCAACAGCCCGAACGCCGCCAGTCCGTACGCCGTGGATGCGTCGGTGCCGTAAACGGGTTGATTTCTTCGACGCCGATCATGATGGTCGAATCACGGCTGAGGAGCTTCAGTCGGTTTTCGCGGCCATTGGTGATGATAGTTGTACTGTAGAGGATTGCAGGCGCATCATAAGCGGGGTTAACAAGAATGGAGATGGGTTCGTATGCTTCGAGGACTTTACGCGTATGATGGGATTGCAGAGGTGAAGGCCTTTCGATGGGTGAGTCAAGGACAGACTCGAAGGAGTTGGGCGTGAAGGTGGTGGACTTGAAGAAATTTTAAGGTATGTGTAGAAAATTTTAGCGAATTAGGTTGAGGTCCGGCGGGCGGCCAAGGAGAGATTGCCGCCCGCCGGTGAAGCGAAAAATACTAAGTTCTTAACCTTGCTCTGATACCATGTTAAAATTGATGTATTATTGATTGATTGATATTGATTGTATTGTATGTACATTATATAGGAGATGTAAAGTGGAGATGGAGTGGTGGAGTAGGTGAAGTGGAGGTGGTAGTGGTGTAGTGGGTTAGGTTTAGTGGAGTAGGTGAGGTGGTAGTGGTGTAGTGGGTTAGGTTTAGTGGAGTAGGTTTAGGTGTACATTAACACTAGTGAAGAGGCTGTTGGAGCTTTGAAAGTTCTTGAAAAAAAAAAATCAATATGATAAGAATAGGAGGATGTAGAGTAGTAGGTAAGAAGAGAACATAATCTTAAGAATAATGATATTATATCGAAGATAATATGAGTTTGTGAGTTTAATTGGTTCAACTTGTTCATAATCATTTTGTTAGGGTGTTTACGATTCAATTAGTATTAAAGTTGTTCATAATCATTTTGTTAGGGTGTTTAAACTTTAAACTTTAAAATTATAAATTTTATAATTATAGCGGAGCGGTTCGGTTCGGTTGGCGGACTAAAAATAGATTTTTCGTCGTTGAAAGTAGCAAAATTGGCGACTAAAATTCAATTAGTCACCAAAGGCGACTAAAACAGTTTAGTAGCCGAATGCAGGGGTTTTAGCGACTAAAAGTAGGTTTAGTCGCTGAATGTAGGGGTTTTAGCAACTAAAAAAATTTTAGTAGCCAAAAGTATACGTTTTGGCAACTAAAAAATAGTTTGGTTACTGATTATACGTGTTTTACCGACAAAAATCAATTTCGTAGCCAAAAGTGAACCTTTTTGGCTACTAAAACAAAAATTAGCAGCTAAAAGTCAAGAATTGCAGACTAAAATGCAGTTTAGTCGCCCAAAGTACAGGTTTTGGCGACTAAAATTCAGTTTAGTCGCCAAAAGTGCTACCCTTAGACGGGATTCAATTCTTTTAGCGACAAAACAGAAATTAGTAGCCAAAAAATATAGAATTCGCGACTAAAATTCAGATTTAGTCGCCAAAAGTGCTATCCTATTTTTTTTAGTAAATAATTTATTTTTTACATAAAATATATTAAATAAAAGTAATTATTTATATATATATATATAATTTTGTATTAATACCGGTCAATATAGTATATAAATAATATATGTTGCATTCATATTCATGTGATGTTGTAGTGGCGTACTGGGGAGAGAGTGTTGGTAAATGTTGAGAATGTTGGGAGGTTGGTGGTTCAAAACTTGGGAACAACAGAGGCAGATTTTTTATTTTTATTTTTATTTATTTATTTTTTTTCCTTTCTGAAAATGGCTTTTGTCAACTAAAGTCTGTGGTCGCCGAAAGATTGGCTATTGGCGACGAAAAGTTTAGTCGGGAAATGTATAAATAAAAAAAAAAATTCACTATTGGCGACTAAAAGTTTAGTCGCTAAATGTATAATTTCCAAAAATGGAATTGACTATTGGCGACAAATTCTTTAGTCGCTGAAGACCTGTACATTGCCGACTAACAATTTTTTAGTCGCCAAAGGTATTCGCGACAAAACCGGCGACTAAAATATTTAGTCGGGGAAAGTGAAAATTCGACATTTGGCGACTAAAAAAGGACTTTTGGCGACTAAAAATTTACAGGTCGCGAATACCTTTGGTGTGTTTTCGACTAAAAATTTAGTCGCCAAAGGTGTGTTTTCTTGTAGTGGTTAGCGGTTAGAGCGGTGCGGATTGATATGGATCAGTGCGATTTTAACGGATTGGCCGATATTTTACACATGTTCTATTGTTGTAAGGGTGCCATATTTTAAGTGGGGATTGTCTCCCTGTGGTTTTGTTTTCTTTTTGTTTGCTTGGTGTCTTACCAACCTTGTTTGCTTGGGATGTAATTATTCGATTATCATCAATGAAGTTTTTTTTTGGCTGATTAAACAAAAAGAAAAAAGAAAAAAAGAGCAGTATGTGTTATACTTTTAGGTATGAAATTGTGAAGTTAATCAATTCAGTAAGTTAATCTTAACAAACTCGATGATTATTTTCTATTAAAAACCTTAACGGCCTTATCAATTAAATCAAATTGACACAAAATTTAAAATTAAAAGTTAAAATTGAGCCAATTAAAAATGTAAGAACCTAAATAATACAAACGATAAAATATAAGGATCATCAATCTAATTTTCTCTTAATATTAATACCATCAAACTATTGAGTATTGCACTATTTTCAATTTGGGTAAAGTTTAATTTAGATAGCCTCATCAAATTTATCTTATTTTTTTAAGACAAATAAATTGTATGATATCAAATATTAATTAAATACTACCACATAACTTCTCTTATATTTACATAATTAAAATTTTAATTTGTTTCATTATTACTTTTGTCATAACAAGTTATTTAAGAATACACATCATCTTATGTGTACTATATACAAATTATAATATTTGTGGTATTGAGATTCCTAACAATTACACTAACCTCTTTTCATTTTTCTGAAATTATACTGATCCTCCTTATGAGTAACTCCCATTATTTACAGGAGAAGTTAGTGTAATGTCAGAAAAAAAGAGAGGCCAATATAATTGTTAAGAACCTTAGGGAGGTGACTGTAATTTATCCAATAAAATATAGTGCCAGTTTCAATGCAATCAAAGTTCAGATACAAAAGGGATGGGTGGATCGACTTTGGTCATTTCTACTTTATAAAAGAAGCTAAAGTGGTGTTTGGTTTGTAAATTTGAAGATGGATTTGAATTATTATTATTTTTTTTTAAATCACTTTTTAAATTCATAAACTAAAGTGGAACATTATATTAGTTACTTGATTGAAAGACCACAAAATAATTATATTAAAATTGTATTGGAATTATGAATTTGGGTAAGAATTTATAAAACAAAAAAGAAGAAAATAAGTGAAATATGAATAAAATATAATTTTTTTTAGAAATTAAAATCCGAACACAATATAAAAATAATTACTTCATAAAGTGTATCTAAAGTGGAACATTATCTTTAGTCTTACAAATTTAAAATAATTATACTCATTCATTAAGATTTTAATTTTGATAAAACTTTTTCATATATTTATTAGTTATTCGTTAGGCTTATGAATTAAAAATTAATGTTATAATAATCGCTTTTACACAAAATGATGTTATGATTTCTGTCTTTACAACGATTGAGTGCCGAACATCTCAATTGAGAGTGTTAATTGGACAACTGAGCTAGTACAATTCGTTAATCCTCTGTTGTATTACAAAATGAATAAAATGAATCATCTAAATAGAACTCGTGATGGGTCCAATTAAGTTGTCCAATCCCATGGTAGAGTGAAAAACAAGTTCTGAACTCTTGTTTTAAGCCAATACACCATGACTCATCAAAAGAATATTGATCACCTTTTATACATCACAAGCAAAGTGGGAAGGACAAAATTGGTCACAACTCACAAGTAAAGCATTCACTATTCTTTTTTTTTCTTTTTTCTTTTTTTGAACATGACAATTGACAAGTAAAGCAATAAATATTCGAAAACTGAAATCTCTTTCAACAAATTCAATTTTTCAATTCAAATTCTCAATTTCCTTGTTGGAGGTGAAGACTGAAGAAGAGGCTGGTGGATAGCTTTGCTCATATTCTTCACTACTGGGCGGGTTTCTTAGCTGTGCTTGCTCTTTCTCATCTATACAAGAGAGACGCAGGTAAACACTACAATAACTTTTCTTTCTTCATTTCTTCTTCAAAACTGCATTGCAGCTGTTTTCATCATATAACCTTGCTTATCCACACACACTCGCCCACACACAAGGTAAATTACATTGACCTATGAGATTTGGAGAAAATATACAATTCTGTAGTTTTGATATAATTATACCGACCTCACTTTCAGTAAGGTTAAAGGGACCGAATCTAATACAAATAGTGTGAAAGCACAAGGATAAATTGATCAACATAGTGTGATCCCTATAGTTTGATCCAAATTTCACTTTAGTCCGTAGAATTTTAAATTGAACAATTTTGTCCCTACACTTTAAGTTTAGTTTCAATTTAATTCTTCAGTCCAAATTTGGCGTTAAATTAACAAAGGCAAATGACATTGCTAATCCATGTATTTTGACCCTTTGTCATTTTGGTAATTGTAATTTCAATTGGCTTAATTTTGACTTAAATTTTTTTACTTTATCTTAAATTGGTTCAGTGATTCCAATTATTAGTATTTTTTTTTATGGACAATGTGCACATAAGCAGGATGTGTCACTACAACATTTTCTTAGTTCAATAACACTTGAAAGTGCCACAAAATTACTCCTCTAATAATATTTTTTAGTCTTGTGACATTTTAAATAAGTGTCATTTATACCCATGTCACAGTGATATTAGTGGCATCTCAGTGACACTTGCAAGTGTCATTACACCATCATGACTAAAGACTTTTAATGTGACTTTGATGTCATGACAGACATTATTCGTGACACTACCAAACGTCATTAACAAAAGACTTAGTGGCACTTCAGTAACACTTGTAAGTGCCATTATACCATCAAAGCTAAAGATTTTCAATGACACTTTAATGTCATGGTAGACATTATTCGTGATGCTATCAAGTGCCATTAAAAAAAAACTTACAACCTAAAAAATGTCACTATACGCTTTTTTAATGGCATTTCTTTATTGAAATGCCACTAGAGCTTTTATGTTTGTGGCTTTTTGGCATTTTTTTAAAACATGCAACCAAATATTGTTTTTGTCACATTTTCTAAAAACATGGCATTGTTATAGTGCTACTAAAGTGTGTTTTTGTTGTAATGTGTCATGCTTTTAGGGGCGAAATTATAAATTTGAACAATTCAGTGACTTAACCTCAACCAACTCAATAATCATGTTTTGTCAAAAATCCCAATTACATTACTAATTGGATCAAATTAAATGTTAAAAGTTGTGCAATTTTAGGACACTTGTCAATTTTCTAAGATGACAAACAGGAAAAGTTAATAGAAATTTAGATGTAAGGGCCACATTGAAACTAGATTTAAAATGTTGGAACCAAATTGTTCAATTTGAAACTATAGGGACTAAAGTTAAATTTGGATAAAAGTACATGGATAAAAAGTGTAATCCATGTAAAAGAGAAAACAACATCATTTTTCATCCATTTGACGTATTGAACTATTGTTGGAAATTAGGTTAAGTATTATGTAAATTGAAATCTTAAGGAAGTCTAATGTAATTATGCTAAAATTGTAAAGTTTACTGTATTTTTATCCAAGCTTCAGGGACCCAAAAGAAAATTTTAAATCAATTATATTAGAGTTAAATACACAAATGATCCCCAAAGTATGCATCTTGTGTCATTTTGATCTCTAATGTTTCAAATTTGTCGATTGGTCTCCAATCTTTTAATTTTGTCACTAAATGCTCTCTACCTCCATGTCCATCTAGAATTGATTACAGAAGACATTTTGTCAAACCACATTTACATATTAGTAAAATGAGAAACAATAGTCTCCAAAGTATATGATTTGTTTCAATTAGGTTTCCAATGTTTTAATTGTATCAATTTAGTCCCTAACTTATTCATTGTTGAGAGGGGAATTTGTGCCACGATATTTGTGCCGGGATAAACCAGACCCTTGTTGTTGGCCGGGCTATGGATTGGAAGACTACATGGTTTGGGCCGTGCAAAGTTCGAACCGGTCAAAGATGTTACTTGGTTTGGCCAGGCAAACTAGGTCCAGATTGCGCGTGGACCGAGCTACGTTTCAGTGGACTTAGGATTTGGGTCAAGGTTAGGCTAGCTTGGTTGTCCTCCAATGGTACTCTGAAGGGTGGACTTGACCAAACTATCATTTGAAGACAGGCCAAGCACAATTGGGCACGTGGTGTTGATTGGGCTATCTAGAGTGTCGCACAGCGTTAGCATGGCAGTATGCCACGCTAGGTTTGCCCAGCGCTACGCATTGCTCAGTTGTCTCAAAGAACTAGTAAGGTTAAAGTAGTACATTTGCTTGGTTGAGAGTTGCACAAAGAGTTATGCCATATCACTTGATTTGCAGTGATGAAGGTGTAAAGGATAAACGTTAACTTGTAGGAAGATGATTCTTAGTGGGACTTTAGGAATAGGAATTAGAGTTCTACTAGGAGTCTCCCTGCAAAACTTATAAAAGCTTAATCCTAACCTAATTTTAGGTGTTGCAATTTTAGTACTGAATTCATAGAGTTTTTCCTTCTTATTGATCCTATTTGCATAAGAGGGGTTTCTGGTACACATCCGTCGACTACCTCATGTTTCTGTGGTTTTAGGCCAAACAACGATGTTTGGAGGAGCGCAAATTCAATCAACAGGATTACACAAGTACTAAATATTTTGTGCTCGTACAATTGACGCCGTCTGTGGGAACAATCCTAGAACAAACCTTTTGATCAAGCTCTCTTCGACGATTTTAATGGCAAACAACAAAGATCTACCTGTTTCCACCATCAACGACCAAATGTCAGAGGCCAACAGGAGGCTTTAAGATTTTCCTCCTACTCCTTCAATGGATTATTTGGACACACAATAAAAGAAACCTCCATAGGGGCGCGCGAGAAAAGCGTGGTTTGAGCCCTCGCCACTCCCCAAACCCAAAAGGGAAAAAACGACATACCACTGCTCAAGTTTTGGAAGATCAAGTGAGGGAGCAAGAAGAAATAATCAAGAAGATGGTGGTGGATATGGAGATTTTAAAGTGCCAAGTGAAGGGCAAATGTGTCACTAGGATGGAAACTTGCTGAAAGCGCACTGGATCTTATCATTCTGGAGGCCAAGATGAGCATGCCATGCCTGAACCTTCTGAGAGTAGAAGCCTCAGGATAGGCAGCTCTCAATCAAAGACGTTGAGATCTTGTCACTCTAGGTTTGAAAGGACGAGGACAGAAAAATCATATTTTGAGGAGAGTAGCCATTGATTCTTGTGCACTCACTAGAAGTCTTCTCATTATACGGAGTTGCCTAGATTAGAGGACTTGCAGACTATTCTCAATGAAAGGGCACAAAGGAGAAAAGTCGCTCACGCGCATGACTTCCATAAGGTGTTAACTTTGTAGAGATTGGCTCCTACGATGCATGAAAGTGTCAAGGTTGCAATGCCAATACCACATCTTACTTACGAACTAGCAAACATAGCATTGGCGAGGTTGTAAAGTACATCATTATCGCCAGAGATCAAGAACGCACCTCTCCTAGCAGACTTTAACCAGCCAAAGTTCATAATCTACGACGGGAAGTCTGATCCTTATATGCATCTTAGAAACTTCTAACAAGTTATGGCTATGCACAGAAGGAACGATACCTTAATGTGCATCATGTTTCCATTAAGCCTATGGGATTTGGGCTTGACATGGTTTGATTAGTTGCCTAAAGGTAGCATAACTTCGTGGGCGCAGCTTGCAAAGGCATTTGTTACCCGATTCAAAATAAACACCAAGATGCTTATGGAGGTTGATCAATTGTTAGCCATTGACATAGGGGAGTAGGAGTCGTTGAAGTCATGCAACAATAAATATTGGACGACATTCAATCAAATTGGTGAATGTCTTACCAATCTAGTAAGCGCTCTGTACAAGCATGGACTACCAATCGGGCATAAACTAATAGATTTAACGACCATGACGCCACCCCTAGCTGCAGAAGCTCTAATGTAAATGGTTCACCAATGTATAAGGGTAGAAGAAGATGTTGCCTGAGAAAAGGCGAACTCTAGCACAATAGAGATGCCATAAAAAAAGCCTCAGCCCAAGTTAACATGGTTGGCAAGAATGGAAAGCCAAGCTACAAGAGTCGCGATAATAACCAGGGTGGCCCACTCTTAAGTAGTGAAGAGAACAAGGCAAGGAAGGTTGAGGTTTGCATCACCATCTCTACGATGTTCAATAAGCCCATATATCGTATCCTAAGCGAAATCCGTGATGGGCCATTTATTCGATGGCCAACTAAGTTCGGCAAGGCATAGAAGGGATACGACAAAAGGTACCGATGTCCTTACCAAGATAAGAAGGGGAACCAAATTGAGGACTACATGTCGTTGAAACAGCACTTGGAGGAGTTGGTACTACGAGTTACTTGGACCATTATATTTAGGGTGGAGCTTGGCTAGTCCCCTTCAAGATAAGAACATGCCGGATGGAACACCACTTGCTGGTCCACTTCAAGGTGTAATTAATGTGTTCCATGGGATCATTGAGCCCAAGTGAGTTTATGAGCTTAGAAGAATGATAAAGAAGGCTGAGCACATAAGGAATGCACTCAGTGTTTAGCTAACTTTCAAGAAAGGAAAGACAGAGGCAAGGAACGTGGTTTTTTTTTCAGTGATAGAGATTTGGCAAGATTATAGAATCCCCATAACGACGCGCTAGTGGTTACCTTGCACGTCAAGAATTTTGACATCAAGAGGATCTTGATCGACTAGAGTAGCTCATATGAGATCATGCACTATGACATGTTTAAGCAGTTGAAGTTGGATAAAAGAGACTTGGCTCCCACCATGCCTCTTTTGCTGGGTTTTAACTCTATGCCTGAATGGCTGGTTGGCAAGATCATTTTACTAGTTAGAGCGGGCTCAGTGGTCAAGCAAGTGGAGTTCTAGATTTTGAAGTCCCTTCCGCTTATAATATCATTCTTGGGAGAGCATAGTTGTACACTATGCAAGCTGTAACATCAATATAC